AAAAAAAAACAATTAATGATTGAATAGAATAAGGTAGATTATCAGTGATATCTGTCTCACCAGATTTCTTTTAGACTCTTAAGAGCCTCAGAAAGTATGCCATAGGGTTTCTGGGGAAAATACCTTTTACATGGTAGGATCAGGGTTGGGGTCCACTGTCCTCATCTCCCCAGAAAGGGGTATAGGCAGCATGGCTCTGACCCTCATAAACTTATCAGTGCCTACCACCTGATAATAGAATGGAGACCATGTTACCTGATTGTGAGCCCCTTCTTTCTTATTTTTGCAGGCACCCCAGAATACGTTTCCACACGGGCCTTGTGGATGCCCACCTCTACTGCTTGAAAAAATACGTTGTGGATTTCCTAATGGAAAATGGGTAAGAAAGAGGGTGGTAGAGTCTAACATACAGTGCTTAACAAGCTACCTTGTGAATCCATTAAATTTTAAACCTTTGTAATTAGATAACCAGTTTCCAAAAATAGCACAATAGCACAGTTAGGTCTCATTTTTGTTTTAGAAATGAAATTATGTCATCAACATAGTTTTATCTGTACCAGAGTCCCCTGCTCGTATTTTTGCGGTGTGTGTTATAATGAATCAGTAACATATTTTATAACACTTACAGTAACCCATGATGCCTCTTTCTGTCCAGTTCCAGGCTCTTCCCTCCTTCAACAGGAGCGAGCTCCACAGCCCTTATGCTATTTGTCTCTAATTATATGTTCTTCTCCTAGGCAATTATCTAGTAGATAGGCCCTCTTAGCAAAGGGCTAGAGACTTACCACAAAAGGGGAGAAAAAGGAGAGCATGTTTCTCCCCAGTTTTAGAAAAGAAACCCACCTCAATGAGTAAACGTTCATGAATGCAGAGAAACAAAATTTGGCACATTTTCTGATTTTTTTTTTTTTTTTTTTTTTTTTAGAACAGAATTGTAGGACTTAAATACTTTCCAGAGATTGTATCTGGCAGATCACAGGAATTGGGTTTTCAAAGAGAAAACCCCTTTTGCAGTTGGTCTCAAGGATTTTTTTTTTTTATAAGAAAAGCAGCTACAGTCCTCAAAGGAACAGGTGGAAAAGATTTAATAACTGCATGGTTAAGGAAAGGAGCAGCTAGCTTCCCTTGATGACTGCTGGATAAGTTTGGAAAGTTCACCAGTGCTATTCAAGGCAGAAACTTATCTAGGTGAACAGATACCACCATAGCAAGTGGTATCTCAGACCATCTGGAGAAAAGAATTTGAGAACCTGAGTTTAAATGCTGTCTCTGCCTTTGGCTGATGGACTTGAATATATATCAGAATATTAAGAGGAAGGAGGATTGTTCCTCTGCCCGTTAAATGATTTTTCTTTCAGTGTCCTACCCCTTACCCCCCACAACACTTGCTAAGTTTCTATAGGGAGGCCCATATAGAGCCAATGACAAACCAAATCATTTGGACTTTTAGAAAGCTTTCCCAAGGATTGTTTTATCTCTGTTTCCCCTACCAAGGACACTGTTGCCCTGCTCCCTTCTGACCTCTGAAAAATGTTTTCATTTCATCAACATATACTTACTAAGCACTCATTATGAGGCAGGCATTGTGCTAAAGCAACCATGAGATCAATGATAAATAAACAGATATGGCCCTGCCCTCATAGAAATTATAGCCTAAGCTCCATGGTGGAATGTGGAGACCTTGCTTTTTAGATAGCAGAGTAACTTGTTGCCAAGATCTAGAGGGTGATCCAAGACCTATTTCTCAATTACCAGTCTGGACTGTTTGTATTCCAAAAATGAAATTAACTCTTGGCCACTGAAGGGTTTATTTTTCACTCCCAAATAAAAATGAAGCCATATGAAATGAGCCTAGGCCTTGATGGGCAAAAGGGGATACAACTATGTTAGAAAGGACGACTTTTTAAAAAACCATTTATTATGGAAAATTCCACATAAATGCAAAAGTAAAGAAAATAATGAACTCCCATATATCCATCACACAGTTTCAACAATTATCAACTCATTGTCAATTTGGTTTTATATATGCCACCATTTCTCTCCCCACATTACCCTAAATTGTTTTAAAGCAAGGCATTTTGATATAATTTCATCTGTAAATATTATATTTAAGTATGTATAGTTAAAATATATGGACCCTTCCAGGATAATGATGATATTTAAAATAGATATGTATTTTATGTATACATACATATATATGGGGGGGGCTCTTTTTTGTTAATAAACAAATAGCTTAATACCATTATCACACCTACAGAAAACTGACAGTGCTTCCTTAATACTATCAAGAGGAATGTGACTTTTGGTGTCTGTATATGGAGGCAGTTTTACAGCAAACCTAGTCATCTCATCCTGGTTGTTACAGCTTATTTGTAGTTCATTTGGCCACTACCAGTTAGTTATTTCCACACCTGGCAAGTGTAGCACAATGGTATGTGTACCTTGAGGACAAGCCTGAAGTTGGTGATATGGCTACAGGTCCTGGCCAGAAGCTCTGCTGAGTGAGACTTTCCCAGAACCTACTGCAGTAGAGAATGATACAGAGCCTCAGCACATACTACTTCCCCATCTCAAGACCTGTTTAGGAGTAGTTTATCTCTTTCTTCCCCACATTTACCGTCACCTCTCAGAGTTACTAGAATCAAATAGCATATATTGAAAATTGATAAATTTCACTAAATTGGAAAAAGTAAAAAGGCACAGTAGGGCAAATTAGAATGGTACTTGAGGGAGATTCTTTATTCTCAATAAATAGCCTGGAATAGTGAAGGTCTTTTAAAAGTTGTGGGAGGCTGGGCGTGGTGGCTTAAGCCTGTCATCCCAGCACTTTGGGAGGCTGAGGTGGGCGAATCACGAGGTCAGGAGTTTGAGACCAGTCTGGCCAACATGGTGAAACCCCGTCTCTACTAAAAAATACACAAACATTAGCCAGCCGTGGTGGCGCACACCTGTAATCCCAGCTACTCAAGAGGCTGAGGCAGCAGAATCGCTTGAACCCAGGAAGCAGAGGTTGTAGTGAGCTGAGATCCCACCACTGTACTCCAGCCTGGGTGACAGAGTGAAACTCCGTCTCAAAAGAAAAAAGAAAAAGAAAAGTTGTGGGAGATGGGATTGAATTGGTTGGTAGTAAGTAGCAGCATGTAGAAGGTCTTAAAAGCTGAACAAGGAGTTACAGATCTTTAAACAGAATAGTCTTATAGGAAATGAACAATGATACAACCTGGCAAGTGAATATAAACCATTCTGCATGGGAAAGATATTTCTTCAAGATACGTAGGAGACACTTACAATCATCTGGTCATCAAATGATGACTCCATTAGGAATGCAAAGGAAAGAGTAAACCTAGGAGATACAGCTTCAAGAAAGGACTGCCTTAGCAATCCTTCGTTATGTTTCACCTCTGAGAGTTAACATATTCTACCCTATGTTCTTTATGCAGGAAAGCTTCTACAAAGTCACACTTAGGTTTTGTGAGTTGCTTATATGTTAACATTTTCCACTCAAATTCTTTGAGAACAGATATCCACCTGGATTTGTAAGGCATTCAGTATATGCTTGGTGAATGGGGGAAAGACAATGTAGTGACAGATAACAGAAGCAATTTAGTATTAATACATTAAAAATGAAAGAAGAGAGGTGGGTTTCTACAGCTGACTAAGCAGAAAAGCTATAGGGAGCGCCGCAGAGAGAAGAAAATCTGTACTGTCTGGTGAGAAGTAAGTAACTGTACATGTTTTACAAGTTTTTTATCCACTTCTGAATATAGTATGATAGATGAATGTTCCACCGAATCTCTTGAATATTTTAATTCAAATGTGTTGGATTCTATGTCCAGGGCAAAATTAGAGCTTAGTCTGAGGATTGTGACTGTGATACCTCTTTGATAGCTGAGTGTTTCTCCCACTTTTACAATATCAGCTGCATTAAACCTAAAGAAGCTGACCTCTTAGGAGGTCTGGAAGCCCAGGTATTGGCTCTGGGCCCTGGGTATTGGCAAGCTCTTTGCTTACCTTAGTAGGAGTTGCTCTTAGACCTGAGTCAGGGCCCTAGATTGGCACTGGCCCAATGAAAGACTCAAGCAGTATGCCAGCTTTCTGAGTTAAAGCCATGGGAGACAGGAAATATATATCAGGATTAGTCTTGATTTCCTCTTAGTACAGAAACACCTCCGTGCCCCCCTAATCTACTAGACCTGCTAGCCTCTTTAAGAGACTTAAGGGAGATTAGTCTTCTTAACAGGAAGAATCAAAACTGATTACTTCCTTCTTGTCCAGAAGTATCCACGGTTACAGTCAACCTCTTACGGTGTTAGAATCTGATGTTGCCATTCAGTGCTTATAGTCTTGGGGTTGGACCTTCAGAGCAGGAAGAGAGAAGGAAATAAGAAAATTACCTTTAACAGCACCTACCATGTACCAGGCACTATGCTGGGTGCTTTTCACGTATATTCATTTCTTACAATAGTTCTCTCATTAGGTATTAATTATATTGTAGAGGAAGAAAATGCTCAAAAGTCATTTGCTCAATGTCATGCAGCCACAGCCTCAACAAAATTCATCACTGTTGAACTGACTGCGAGCAACATCTACCACAGATGTTGGATGTCTCTATTGCCAACATACTTATATGCACATGTGTATGACTCACACTTGGAAGAATAACAGAGCAGTCACAACTTCCTTGCCTCAGCTATGCCAGGATGCAGAGAAATAAGGATAGGACCCACAAAGTCAAGTCAAGAGTTGGGGATAGGCCATCATGGCAAGGTCAGAATCAGGGTGACAATTAAAGCCACATACAAAATGAAGTTATGTTAGCTGGGTGTGATGGTGTACACCTAGAGCCTCACCTATTCAGGAGGCTGGGACAGGAGGACCACTTGAGCCCTTGAGGATGAGGTACAGTGAACTATATATGATGGCACCACTGCACTTCAGCCTGGTAGATAGAATGAGACCCTGTCTCTAAATAAAAATTAAAAATAGATGGGCTGGGCACAGTGGCTCGTGCCGCTAATCCCAGCACTTTGGGAGGCCAAGGCAGGCAATTCAAGACCAGACTGGACAACATGGTGAAACCCCGTCTCTATTAAAAAATACAAAAATTAGCTGGGCATGGCGGCTTGTGCCTGTAATCCCAGCTACTTGAGAGGCTGAGGTAGGAGAATCGCTTGAACTAGGACCCGGGAGGCGGAAGTTGCAGTAAGCCAAGATCGTGCCACTGCATTCTAGCCTGGGATACACAGACTCCATCTCAAAAAGAAAAAAAAATAAATAAAGATGAAAGTGTGGAATAGCTAGAAAGCCTCTAGTAAGCACAAGACAGCAGAGTGAAGTGAAGCTAAGAAGCAGAGATGTGGGACCAGATAGTGCTGTGAG